AGATAGTCTGGCTGCTACTACACAAGTTGCAGAAGAAAAAATTGCTAATATTCGAACAGTAAAAATATTTGGAAGAATTACAAGAGTCTTACTTTCTTAATAAGAGATTGCAAGAAGTTTAAAATTAGGTATAAGGAATCCATAGCCAAGCTGGTTTTCTTTGGGTTTGTAAGTATATATATTTAAATAACTCAAACTCATTAAACATATTTTACAATTAATTAATTTATTATGCACAAAAAAAATACAAAAATGTGTATGTCATGCTAAAACTAACCTATCATTAAATTATATTACATCATCACATGTTTACATTTCAGGACCGATTTTCAGGGAATGTATGATGATATCAGTTTTATATTACGGTGGAACACTTGTAGCAGATTCTAGTATTACTATTGGATCTTTGACATCATTTTTATTATATGCAGCTTATATAGGAGTTTCTATAGGTGGTCTTACATCATTTTATTCTGAATTAAATAAAGGCATTGGAGCTGCTGAAAGATTGTGGGAGATAATGGATAGAGAACCACTCGTAGCTGGCTTAGGTGTGCATAGTATTTATTTAATAAAAAATTAGAGATTTCTCTTAATTCAACATTTATATTTTTATTCAAGTCTTGGAATAAACATGATTATAATAATAATTATTTCATCATCATAATTTCAGGTGTAATTCCCGAAAAAAAAGTTATTGGTGATATAAAATTCTCTAACTTAAGTTTCCATTATCCTACAAGACCCGAGCAAGATGTTTTTTCATGATTTACTCTGGATGTGCCAGCAGGAAAGTCACAGCATTGGTATGAAAACTGAGAAACTTAAAAGTATTGCACATCAATAAACTTTAAATATATAATTATTTAAATTATGAAATTACATTCAATTTTGTTTCTAAATCCAGGTCGGGTAGAAGTGGTTCAGGAAAGAGGTATTTAGGATCTCTTTTACTTCGACTTTATGAACCACAAAAGGGTGCAATACTTCTTGATAACATGAATTTGAAAAATCTGGATGTGAATTGGTTGCGCAATAATATAGGAGCTGTAAGCCAAGTTAGTGAGAATTGTAGATAGATGTTTTATTACAACTTTTGTCTGTATAAAATATATTAGGTATATGAATTAACCAACATTTTATATTAGGAGCCCATATTATTTTCTGGCACGATTCGTGAGAATGTGTTATATGGAGCACCATATCCGGACCAAGTTTCAGAAGAACGTTTACTAGATGCTATGAAACGCGCGCACGTGATCGATTTTACTCAAACTCTACCTCAGGGAGTCGATACAATTGTTGGGGAAAGAGGCATTATGCTTAGTGGTGGCCAAAAGCAAAGAGTTGCAATAGCTAGAGCCATTATAAAGGTAAGTTATTTTTATAAGTTAAATGATATTTTTATATCATTTACCATAATTCTATAATTTATCTTTTTCAGGATCCTGCTATTTTAATCCTTGATGAGCAGCAACTAGTGCTTTAGATACTCATTCAGAACGGTTAATACGTTCAGCACTGGAGGCCCTGACTTTAGAAAAATCTCGTACTGTGTTAGTAATAGCTCATCGTCTCAGCACTGTTCGAGGGGCTGATTCAATCGCTGTCTTAAAAGACGGCATGATTGTTTGAAAGAGGTACTTATGACCAACTAATTAATAAGAACAAAGGATTTTTCAAGGAATTGGTTCTACAAGAAGATACAAAAGTAGAAACATTTAGTTAATAGTGGATATTAATATTAATATATTGGAGTTCAAGCACAAAGTGGATTTTGTTCAGAGTAATATATATTATCTTTTCTATGGAAAAATATTTCTTTATCCAAAAGAAAAGAAACTTCATAAGCTCACACCTGCCATAATCTACTAGTGACTGTCTATTACATATATATATATAAATGTTTACATTACAAAATTTAACATTAAATAATGTTCATTTTATTTTGTTAAATAACTGTTTATACTATAATGTTTTAAAACAAACTTTTAATTTCAAAGTATATTTATGTTAAATTATATTATTGTTAGTTGTTGTTGAGTTGTATTTATGTAAAGTAATTTATTTTTATATAAAAATGTACATGTGCATGAGAAATAGAAGTAAAATAAAATTGTACATAATTGGCTAATCGTTATGGTGACGGAATCAAATATTTGTTGTAAAAATTGATTGTGTTTGCAAATCGTAATATAAATACAATAAAAAACAGGACCATTACATTTATATCAGGAATTTTATTTTATAATATTCATGGTAAAAATGTAAATATTTTTTCATTATGCTTGTGTTTAATGGATGTCGACATTAAATTCATGTTTATTATTAATTTTTTTTAAGTGATATCTATCAACAATTTAACATAACTGTGCTATTAGCAATAATATAAATAAAATGACTTTAAAGAAACAGAATGAATACATATGTAACAAAATTCATTCAAGGATATAAATGAGTAAAACTTCATCAATATGAATAATTTTAAATTACAAGGGCGTGAAAAAGTATTTTTCTCGAAAATATTTTGTTAGTACTATTTCTTATTTAATTTAAATATAATTTATGCACTATGGTTATCTTCTATATATATAAAAATAAGTCGGGTTTTCCTTCCTGACGAAATAACTCCAGAACGCACGAATCGATTTCGATAATTTTGCATTCGTTGGAAAGGTCTCGGGCTCCGCAAGGTTTATAGCTAAGAAAATTAGTGGTGCATGACATGGTGCCCTAATGCAAATTGCCTGGAACTTCACGCACCGTAATAAAAATTCGAGTAATAAAAATAATCAATAATGGTTTTAAAATCATTGCAAATAGATTATCTTAATATATATAAAAGTAAGTAGGGTTTTCCTTCCTGACGAAATAACTCCAGAACGCACGAACCGATTTCGATAATTTTGCATTCGAAAGGTCTCGGGTTTCGCAAGGTTTTATAAGCTAAGAAAATTAGTGCATGGCATCGTGCCCTAATGCAAATTGCTGGAATTTCACGCACAGTAATTAAAATTTCGAGTAATGACATTAGTGAGAATTATCAGAATTATGCTTGGTTAAGTCAACTAGCAATTCTTGCCGCAAAGAATAATGATGTACACGCAGTGAATTTCACCATTCAATCAAAAATTGCTGGCGATTTGGTGACATACCAATAATCCGACTGGTTTTCCGTTTGACTTCAAACAATTGCAATTTCCAGTTCGCCTTGCGTTCGCAATAAACAAGTTGCAAGGCCAATCGCTTGTGTGTTTGCGGATAAATTTCAAATAGATTATTTAGAAAATCATTGTTTTTCACATGGGCAGTTATACGTTCCATGTTCACGAGTTGGGAAAACCATCCGCTTTGTTTGTGTTAACGTCAGACCAAAAAAAAAAAATGTGGTTTACCAAAGAGCACTTCAATGAAAGATTATTGGCGAATTCACTTTCATTTACTTAGAGAAGTTCAACTAAACAAGTCTTCATTTTGTAATCGAAATAAAATTCATTACTGTTATGCAATAAAATCAAAATTTTCCTTTTCAATATAAAACAAACAAAAATTTCTTCATCTTTCTCACGAAACCATCTGGTGCGAACGGAGTTCGTCGGTTTTTGCTAGTATTCATATGAATATATTACAATATAATATTGTCCAGGATTATATTTTTGTCTCTCTTTCCAAATGTCAGTTATTTTTTCAAAATTTTTTGAATTTATACATCAATAAATACGTACTTTTTCATTTTTTTACGTAATATAATTCTATTTAAATAGCAAATATAAGGAATTAATTTGGATCATCGCACCGCATTTTCAAAATCTAACGTTTTCTATATTCATATTCAAATAAGTTCACGTTGGTTTCCATTTGCGCAATTCTTTAGCCTCGGACCCACGGAGCGTCGGACGCACATCCTCCTTTCAACTCAACGAGCCGTTTCGCACGTAACAACATTCAATACTTGACAGATAACAAAATGGCAGCTTAAAGTGATTATTAAACAAAAGATTCCAATTAAATTGTAATAATGGAGAAATTAAACCAGAAATATCAACCAGCAGTGAAAAAAGTTTACGGTGTTTTAATGAATATAATTTAAAACCTGATTGTTGTATAAAGTGCAGTAAAATAGGAAAAATTATGACAAGAGATCAGAAGAGTGACAAACAGATTTTGTACTCATCGTTCTACATTGGGAATTGTAATATTGATACTGATAATAATCATTTAGGGACATTCACGTATTATTGATATTATTATTTAATTATGGTGCAAATAGAAAGAATGTCGACGAATAGTATGAGTGACGTCAAAATGGGACAGAATTGGCGTGCCTCTCTAGATAAGAATTGGCGCTCGCTGGTCCGACGGCGCCAGGTATTTTCTTCCCAGATACAATAGTTCCAAAGTAATTTCGAATCTTCAACAATCACATTCTTGAATAGTATGATAGCTTTACCAAGGCTAAATTTTGGTTTATGTAATTCGCAAGATTTGAAAAAGATTGCACACGGGTAAAGTTGATTTTTATCCAGATTTCGAAGGGATTACAAAAATTGTTCAGACACATTTGCCAACAGTCAAAATTTTAGTGATTCGTATATAGATCACAAAACATATTCTCATTTTTATCTCAAAGTAAGTTTTGAAAGCGAGAAGCCTGCAGAAACAAAGTCCATGTTGGCAGAAACTATGTTTCAGAGAAACCATTGGCAAGTGAAAGTAATAAAGAAGAGAAAAAGTGCATTAATTTAGAAAACACAAGCAGTAATGATAACAACAGAAAATAAGCTTCTAAAGATTCAAATATGCAGCAAGTTAAACATGGAACTACTTCATCACAAATCCAAGATACAAACGATAAAATTATGCAAAAACCAACAACCAAACACTGCAGTAAATCTAAGCATAGCAACCTAAAAAACGAGGCCAAATCAAAATCTTCAAAACATAAGAATAAATCCAATACTATACACGATATGCTAGATGACTATTATCAAGGCTTCGAGGACCAAATTGATGATTGTGATGATGATTTAGCAACAAATTATCTCCTCAAACACTACAAATATCCCAACAGTTGTTCTAGTAAACTATCACAAAGTTTTGAAAAATGTTGGAATTATTTACAACGCCTTCCACCAGTTAAACATTTCAGCAATGTCATGTCACAACAAAATCACCCACAGAAACTAAGAGCGACTTTGTTTATGTACACAATTTAGATAATGGGCATTTAGCCACAGAAAATTTGGGCATAAACAATGAAAATATTCCTAAGCGTAAAAGAATGTCTTCAGAGTGTGAAACTGAAGACAGTTTTGTGATATTTGCTGATGATAATAAAAATGATCCGAAAAGGAATAATTTGAATCGGAAACCATCTCTATGTGATAGTAATGATAGTTTTGTAATTTGTTTTGGGGAGAGTAGCCAGTCTCCAGAAGAGTGTTTATGTTTGACGATATGGAAGATAGATTGAGTTACGAGAGTGATGATAGTAGTTATTATGATGATAGCAGGACTGTGAAAGTGATAGCGAAATATCGGGTAGTGATAGTATATGTAGTGATACTTGTAGAAGGAATAGTTTGGAGAATGATAGAGATGTAACTGATTTTCGAGGAAAAGCAGATCTGGGAAAAAGGTAAGGAGAAAAGCTTTATATTTAACGTATTGTAAATTTTCAATTCTAAAATAGCTATCTTTGGTCATGAATTCGATATCAGCATGCTTACTTTACTTTCTAGAAATAATTCTGCATGTTATTTTATAT